CGACGTTGTAAAACAAGCCAATTCACTTCGTGAACTCCGCAACCAGGTTACCGTTTTTTTTTTCACCTCTGTTTTTTTTATGGCGCTAACCATAATGGTGGTCGAGTATATCTTGTTGTGCGGGGTCGAGAACCCTCACTCCGCGCAAGGGGGATGATCGCACCACGTTGTGTTGAAATGGTCAAGCACCCTCGAGGCAGTTACACAGTGCTTACAACTTTCTCTGGAAGTGAAAGCACCAGAAAATATATTAAGTCATATGCAGCTGTCGTCCGTACGCAAGGAAGTAAGCACAAGATGCCGAACACCCTTGTAGTATTGTAGCAGGATGCAGCGCACCCTTGCCGAATATCTCACGGCGCTTCGCGCTTGGTGATGTGAGAGCCTGGTCCGGTGAGAACCCGGCGTGCTCCATCCCGGCTTTGTAGGGATGCGAGGTCAATGGTCTAACGACTACGGCATGCACGACTATGAATACACCACCCCTCTCGATGTTTGCCATCGGGGTTGGGTTTTCGTCGCTTGGCAACGACGTTGTAAAACGAGCCAATTCACTTCGTGAACTCGGCAACCAGGTTACCGTTTTGTTTTTGTTCACCTTTGTTTTTTTTGTTGGCGGTAACCGTAATGGTGGTCGAGTAGATCATGTTGTGCGGGGTGGAGAAGCCTCACTCCGCGCAAGGGGGATGATCGCACCACGTTGTGTTAAAATGGTCAAGCACCCTCGAGGCAGTTACACAGTGCTTTCAACTTTCTCTGGAGGTGAAAGCACCAGAAAATAAATTAAGTCATACGCAGCTGTCATCCGTATGCAAGGAAGTAAGCACAAGATGCCGAAAACCCTTAGTAGGATGCAGCGCACCCTTCATGCGACTCGCCGAATATCTCACGGCGCTTCGCGCTTGGTGATGTGAGAGCCTGGTCCGGTGAAAACCCGGCGTGCTCCGTCCCGGCTTCGTAGGGATGCGAGGTCAATGGTCTAACGACTACGGCATGCACGACTACGAGTACCCCCCCCGGTACGTCAATTACCCCCCCGGGTGGGTTGGTTTCAGAAAACAAGCAGACGATCCCTTCCCTGGGAGAAAACTCCGTAGTTCACGGTATCCTCACATCCCTACATTGCCGGGGGGAGGTATTTTGACCTACATAGCTGCACATCAGGAGGGGGGGGTGTGTGGAGGGGCGTGTTTCAGAGCAAGGGAGGGGTGAGGGGGAAAGAGGCACGAACGAGGGGGTAGACATCGCGAAGAGCGAACAAGACATGGGTATCCATTGTGCGTGTCTGCCATTTCGTTCGATGCCCATTGTTCACGCAGGCGGGGGAGCGTCGACGGTGAAGACCACGGCATGCAAGCAAGCAAGCAAGCAAGCGCACCATAGACAAAAATAGAGCAGCTCCTCACCAGCGAAACCATGTGCACATGCACGTGTACCTCGTAGATACCTACCGCCGATTAGTTCCGTTCGCTTGCTTCGCGTCAACCGGTGGCACACTTCAAGGTACGGGATGGCATGGTGTCCGTGGTGCTCCCGCTGTTGCTGGGACGAAGAGGTGTCCTTCTGCAAGTGCTGACACGCGAGCGGGTTGAGCTTGTCCACGATGTTCAGGTAAATGGGGCTCGGTGTTCAAAGCCAGCCAGCCGCAGGCAGTGGTGTGCGACTGGATTGTGTGGGCGGCTGTTGCTGTTGCTGTTGCTATCTTCTGTTCTCGTTAGAACGAAGGCCTTCGATTTGATTGCCTGTATCGGTCGGCTCGCCTATTTTTTGTTCTGTTTGCTCTTCCGGCACGTTTTTGCTTGTTTTAGCTGCTCGTAAGAACCCCCCCTTCCCCCCCCCCGCCTTGTTAGCGCATTAGAAAAGAGTGCGCATACGACTTGCAGGCCAATATTCACCACCTCCCTCTCTCACCTCCCCCCCCCCGCCCGAACCCTAGATCCGCGTGACCCCCGTGGCGGGGCGGCGAGACGCACCGCCCAGCGCCAGAGCCTCACTCGGCGGAGGAGGAGGGAGCCGGTGGAGGCCTGCGCCCCCGGTCGGGGAGAGGGAGCACGGGGCGAGGATTCGCGACATGGTCATGAAGGCCGCCCACGTTGGGTACGTCGAGGAGGACGAGGGGGGCGGCGGCGGCGGCGGAGGGGACGGGGACGGCCAGGCGGCGTGGAGGACGCCGCTGGCCTCGGTCGACTCGCTCTCGAGACAGCTGAAGGACACGTGGGAGACCTTCAACGCCAACTTTGCGACGATGGCTGGGGAGTCGAGGGGAGAAGGCGGTGCCGCGGTGGGAGGGTGGGCGGGGAACTCGCGGGGCGGCGCCCCCCGCATGCTGCCGGAGTACTGATTTTTTTTTTCGAATCGACAGGTTGTGGTGGTTTCAAGGCCATGCCAGTGGTTTTGAGCGCCCCACCGGGCCTGACGTGCTGCATAGAGAAGGAACAGTATTCCGGCGTGTCCAGACGTCGCTGTATGGAGGGGACAAAGGACCATGGTGTGTTGGTGACCGAACGTTAGCCGCAGAACACCAACCACCCGCCGGGTGTGCTACGGTGGATCATGTCAGAAAACACCAATGGTCGAGCACCGAGAGTCGTAGATTGAGTTTCGCCTGCTTTTTTTTGGGGTCGTAAAAACTCTTAAGGCCCGTCGCAGTGTACATATCGGCAAAGCAGCCTGCCTCGGACAACCTTGCCATTCCACTTAGGAGGTTCTTGATATAGGTTTTAAGGCTGTGTGGGGTGTCATGATGCGGGACAGTGCGCAACGACGACGGTTGTGTCATGAAGGAAGCGGATTATGAAAGACCGACAATCATCGGCTAGTCTACTCAATCTGATGTAGAGACCGGACGGCATGAAGATTAAGATTCGTGTTTGTACAAACAATCGATCCCGGTGCTTGCAAAAACAAGAGTGCGTGCTTCACGAACAATCCGGAATCCGCGGGGGAACGGATCAGAGGCAGATGATGTGTTTCGAAAAGAGAGTTGTCAACGAATACGCACTTCGTCATACAACTAGGCTGTGCTGCTGTGATGCCATTCTAAAACAACCGCCACGGCCTAGTTTAAGAAGAGAAGGCATCGGCTCCAGTGCTGGTGTTCCGAGATCCGAAATCTCATCGCGGTAAACATGCTCTCCCTTGTCCGAGTCCCTACCATCTAACGATGCCACGAGGTTTCTTGATGCCCGACGTGTTTTGCCGATGGAACGATTGGCCGACAAAAACGACTGTTACTATACTTCGTCTTACGTGCTCTCGAAGCTTGAGCTGATGCCGCGTCCGAATTTTTTCCCCCCGGCTCGCCAAAAGCCCTAAAACTTAACGACACGTGAATGAAGCATCTGCAAACGGAAGCAGGATATCGTCGTCGCTGCGGCGAGTCTCTCGTCGATAGCTCCACGTTTGGTTTTGATCGCCCTTCGACGAACTTTCGGCGTTCCTCTTTCTTCGTTTTACCAACGCCGAGAGGAGGCCGATCGGTACATGGGATTGTACAAGTGTTGATTCTTCTTGCCTCCACTTATCTATCATCGACGATGCCACGAAGCGGCGCGTGTGCTGGACTAAGATTCCTCCACGGCCATCTGTCGGACATCAGGGCTAACGTCGAGTCCCTTAGTCTAGTGTACCCTGCTCCCTGCCATGTACCAACACAGCAAATGTTGGATCGAGCCTGCATCTCGCCACCAAACAACAAAACCAATTTAATTTCGCCGCGTCACGCGTTCATGCCCCCCTTCCGTCTGCCATGACGCCCCAGACGGAGTCACGCTCCGATCAGAGACAAAACACATACATCCCACAAACGACACCAACAACATTAGCCGGGCGACACACACATAGGAACGGACCTACATCCCAAACGACCACGGAACATATTTGACGTGAAACGCAAATCACTCATCTCTCGCGCATCTTCCGCTCCAAAAATTTGTGCCTTGCCTACGCGTCACCTCCGTCAACGCAAGGCAGCGCTACTCCGCAGCTGTGGCTGTGAAGGCGACCACAGCCGCGTGGGCTCTACACTGACTACTCCCAACATACGTCGACCGAAGCAGAAGCCGCGGGAGGAGGGCACGAAATTCCGTCGGAGGAACCGCCAACAATAACCGCAGGCAACGCGGAACAAAACCACGAGTAAAAAAACGGGCAACAGGTCGCATACCGCTCCACACAAAACGACCACAAGCGTGTCGCAATACCATACCATACACAACAGCCGAAGCGGCAGCAGCAGCGGCGGACTTCGCCACCTCTAAAACCAGGCCAACGTAAAGAAAGCCTCCCTGTCTCCCCTACCCCTCTAGCGTACTGCCGGCGCGACGGCGGCGGCTGCGCCCCCCCCCACACTGCGCGTTCCAGACCCCCCCCTCCTCTTCAACAATCGCTGCGACCGCCACGGTGCCGCCAACCAGCCCCCAGGAAAGCGGCGAAATTTCCGCGGCGAGTTACGCCGCATCTGAAACCGACAGACAAGCAAGTGTCGGAGACAAGACGAACGCCTCCGCCCCGCCCTCCTCACGGGCGTCGTCGGCAGATGGCGGGACCGCCGCCTTCAAGAGCAGTGCGTCGCGAAAGCGCGCCAACAAACTCTCGCCCGGGCCGCGCACCAAGACAACAGGACAAGAAGATGATGGAGCCCACAAATCCGACAGACGAGGTGGCGGCGGCATGGCTTTTGCTTTTGTCGTTGCCAATACGGTGAGCGGCGCCGTGCTTGCAGCCTGCATGCTCACTAAAACATGTCGAAGGGGTTACCGCCGGCCGCCTGCGGTCGGGGGGGGGGG